TTGGCCCAGTGCGACACCACAAATTATTATTGTCTCCCCATGCACATGTGCGTCACGTTTAAAGAAAGTGAAAGCTTGTTGCTCGTTTAACGCCGGATTAACCATGTGTCAAATATGGCAAATGCCGCGGCCCTTGCGCTTTACTATGCTACGCCCATTTTTACGAGAACACGGCCATTTTCTATTGCGACACACCCATTTTAGGTGCCTCGCAAATTTAGGGACCTCACGCATTTAGGGCCCCTAGCACGGCCCCGGGAAAATATGCAATACTCGTGTTCATATAATCTCTAGTTGTGTTGAGCTGTTATATTATGATCCTGTTTATACCCACCAACTGCGCCAGGCAGGCCATTATCTCGTTTATAATTGATGCAAATAAATTGAAATATTGAAAAAAATTATTTAACACTTTTGTGTCTTTAAATTCAATGGTTTTCATAAAAAGAAGAAAGGGGGAGGTTTGGGGGCCTCGCGCTAAAATTTGCCACGGGCCTTGCGCGACGTTAATCCGGCCCTGGTCACTTGTCGGTAGTTCTTGCGGTTTTAATGCCAATTGACAAAGATCAAAAGAGAGCACTGATGACTCCCCCCGTCAGAAAAATACTGGTGCAGCCCAAACCAGCTCAGTGAAATATGGAGCCCCAGGGCCAATTATACCCTTGGGGCCCCGGTGAACCACAATTACCCCCCTCCGTCGACAAACTTTTTATTGCCTTGCAAATTTGTATTTGCCTGTCTTCCTTGAGCTAGGGTCGCGGAGAAAATTGCTCCCTTTGCCACCTCCCTGCATGGGCGGCCCTGGCGCCGCCCTTTTCATATCATAACTATCTACCCTAATTCAAGCTGATTGGCGCGGCTCGATGAATTAATTGCCGATTTCAAACAGAGGTTTATTATTTTAAACCTCTAGAACCAGGGTACCTTTTGTCACTCTGAGGCCAGCGAAATAACCTCTTCCGCAACATGCACGTACCCGTCTCCTATCGTCAAGAAACAATCAATACGTATAATCGTTGTGGTCTGTGGGATTTTAATTCAATAGTGTAAACCTTGCAGTTTTAGGGAAGCCTCACATATCGATTTTTCCACAAGAAACGTCATATGTTCGTTTTGGGGGTGGGGGGTTACAGCTGTGATGTTTCTCTGTAAATATCATGGAAAAGTTCGATAGTTTTTTCGAATACCTTAACATTTCGGAATCAACTTTTCAGAGTATAAAAAAGAAAACAACTTGAAAGAAAACGACTATTCAAATATAAGGGCTGGTAAACTAAAAATAAAAACTCCTTATATGGATAAACATTGTAAACGTTCATTTCACATGCACATGTACACGCACGCTAACAGCTGCTTAATAATTAACTTACGTATTTGTAAACATCAGTCGATAAATAAAATGGTACATTAATATGGACAAAAGGGATCAAAACCTCTGAAAACAGCAGTTGTAGTTCCAATCCTTAAATAGCTCATCGATTTAAACGATTTGTATATGTTAGCGCTAAAGTCAAACGGCCGTGTTGTAGATCACGTTGAATAATGATCTGAAGTTATCATGCAACCGTCAACAATGTCTCAAAATACTGGATGTTTGATGTTTTTTTACAAATATACCGGGATTTCTGGACCACTTTTAAACTTAGCAAAGCGAAAAGTCCCCATTCAAGAATATGTTTTTTCTCAAAAGGTAAAATACTTAGAATACTTGATTAAATTGTTTACTTCGACGGTGTATAAATTAACAGCGTTTGACTTGCAAGACGTCAAAAACGGAAGATTTCAACGCGCTGTCGTTTATCGCGTATTCATTTGCCAAAAGAAGTATTTACGTCAATTGAAAGCTTGTTTATTAAAGAGCCAACTAGTAGAAGCATGATCGATTTGGAGCTTTATCGCATGGTGAAAATCGATTTTGTTAAGAGGGTATCGTAAATGAAGTAAGATAGTGTGCTCCAAAACTACGATAATTTCTATTCCTAAAAGTAACTCAGATTTCCTGTAAATCATGTACACAGTCCTTTGAATAACTGGAAACAAGATTTTTAGGGTTTTAGATCCATTAGAAACGGTTGTCGTTGTGAAATTTATCTGTAAAATCAGCACATATTTTCCCAGAAAAATGGCGATTTAGGGTGGTCATGTTAAAACAGCATTTTCTCAAAGTTAAAAAAGCATTTGACCTAAAAAAATATATGGTGCATTTTCCGATATAATAAGGTATATCTGGGCAAAATTTGAGCAAAATCGATTTTTCAGTCATGGCCGCTTTATGTTGATTTTTGTGGACATCCTCTCTTAATTAGTTTTTTGCCTCATTTTTACGTTTCTGTGTTTTTGATTTATGCTTTCTGTAGTTTTAGAATATACACAGTTGTCATTTACAATAGATTTGAATAAAATTGATGAAAAAACGTGCATTGATTTGTCGAGGTATGTGATTGCTTCATAATGAACCATTAGATTATGGAACCAATAAAAGGTCTGATATAAACCCACATCCAAATCATATGTTGGCTTTAAATTATGTTGAAGATTTGCCAAGAACAATATTCACCAATTGTTGCTGCATTTATATATTGCTGCATTTATATATTGCTGCATTTATATATCCCTGCATTTTATAAATGACCAAACAGAACTGTTGCTAGTGGATTGGAGGCATTTTTAATATTGCTTGAGATGGTTAACATATCCAAATCGCCTTTCAGATCTGTTTGTTGTTTGGAAGACCTGAATTGTCCGTCAGGTGAAGTGAAATAAAATTCCTAAATGCTGGCTTGCTGCTATTGTATTGAGACATAATGTATGCTGGCACCCATAGCATTACCATCAAATTGTTTATTTGAGTTGCAGTTGATATTAATATTTTCTCTAGATACTCAATGACATTTATAAACAGTATCATCATCTGCTTGACGAGCTTGATCAAAACTGGATTCAGGTTGATGTATTTGCTAGAGCTATTCATGATTCTGGAAGTCCTCTTAAAAATTGCTGGGGATTCATTGACGGAACATTGCGTTCGGGCTGCAGACCAATAAGAAACAAACATATTCTTTTTTCTGGACATAAGCATGATGTACATGGCTTAAAATTTCAGGTTTTCCTCATGGATGTCTGCTAGCATTTAATTTTGAGCTTTTTTGTCTTGTTTAGCAGTAATGTTATTTAAAATCACTTCACAGTGAATGTTTTAATTCTTTAGAGTATTGTTTGTCCTAATGGCCTTATTGCCAACTTATATGGTCCGATTGCAGGGAGACACCATGATGCATTTATGCTGCATGAGAACAAGTTGTTATCTAAGCCTGAGGAAAGCTTCAGAACACCCCAAATATTTACATTGTACCGGGAACCAACATACCCACTTCGACCACACTTACTTGCACCTTATAGAGGAGCAATGGTAATAAGGGATCAGCAAAGTTTCAACAAATCCATGAGTAAAGTATGTGTGTCAGTTGAGTGGACATTTGGTAAAGTGGTACAGTACTTTGCTTTTATCAATTTCAAAAAAAATCTCAAGGTACTTTGCAACCAATTGAGATACACTGTTGTGGGTGCTATGCTTTTATGGCAGCACAACATCAAGATTTTTTAACATGGCTCCCCCTGATCTTCAAAATTATTTGGGTTATTAAGTTAGTTAACAAACACTTCAATCCACAAAAATTATAATCTTGTTGAAAGTATGACATAAAGCAAAGGGTAGCAAAATTTTTTAATGTTCAACAGTTTTAGTGGGGAGGGGGTTAATGATAATTGGTTTCCATTGAAAGTCTGTTGTTTATGTGGAGTCACTAAAAAATATGTTCAGTGTGGAGGGGGCTGCCCAAAAAATATTCTTTTAAAATGCGAATTCCTCAAAGCCCCATACGACATAAATTGTGAATGTTCTCTAAGTATCGATAAATTTGTAATTAATAATCGAAATTAAATATTTATTTAATCTTCTTTTGAAAACTTGCTCGTGAACAATTTTAGCATTTCAAACTGCATTGCAATTTGTTTTTCTTCAACTTCTAACTTTGTCTTTTCCAACGCCATTGTTTCTTTTCTTAATTCGGTTTTTTAATCTCCAATGCACAATTTCGAAACTCTAGCTCCCTTTCCTTCATTTCATTATTTGCCTCACTCTTCTGTGACAGGTATGTAACAAAATCAGACTTGTTGATTCTTTTTCTGTTCTTACCTATCATTTGCAAAAGCACAGGAAATTCATTGTATACTGGTTAGCATTGTATTTTTGGCATATGATCATTTAATAAACTGGTAATTAATAATTTGATTATGTTTGAATGAGAAACTGTCTTTATTATTTGAGGTTGCAAATTTTGCAGGTTGGAATTTTGCAGGTTGGGGATATTGCAGGTTGCCAGGAACTTTGCAGGTTGATAAATGTAGGTTAAAAGTCAAGGGAGAGGTTTTTATTAAACTGTGAAGACCGAGGACCGAAGGCTTTTAACTTGTTTATGTACTCATCAGACCATATTCTTTTGTATTTTGGAGGTTTTCTTCATTAAAAATTCAAGCTATATTAATTCAATGAGAGATCGTTGCAGTTGTGGGATGAAATAACTAGGTGTAACATGCGCATTAATATGCTTTAAAATGTGGTTAGGCATGCGCAGTATATCATTTCACGTCCCACAAGTGAAAGAGCAGATATTACTGTATAAATTCCCTACACAAGCAAGTTTGATGGTTGATCCAGCTAGTCCTTGTGTGTCGATTGATAGATACTCTTACCTATTGGTAGAGTTTTGACGAGCTCTCAGGTACACAGCTGATGTCTCTTTCTCGACTTAGAGACATGCAGCGTTTTAATTTAATTTAATTTCTAATACATGTCGATTGTCAATTATAACAAAAGTCAATAGAATGTATCTGGGAAGCCAACAACAGAATTCATGATTCCCTTACCACTGGCACCCACCAAAAAAACTAATTTAACTAACTATCAAATAAGTAATAAAAGTCGATAATAATAACTAAGTCTAAGGATTCCAGTCAATATGAAAACGATCATAATATAGTTTAAACAGTTCCCTCCTGAACGATGGAAGAGATTCTAGGGAGCGAACTGTATATGGCAAAAAATTCCATAATCTTGTAATTCTAACAAAATATGAATATTTAAAAACATCAGTACGGGCAAATGGAACAGTCAACTTGAGATCATCGGTAGTTCGTAGGCACCGACCAGTAACAGACCACTCAAATAAATCTGAAGGTATTTGTACTTGACCATGTATTGCTTTAAAGCAAAATACCAAATCTGCTATCTCTCTACACATACATAGTGGCAATAAATGAAGTTTTATTAACCTGTCCTTGTATTCAATGTTATTACTGAGAATAATACGCGAAGCTCGTCGCTGAACTTGTTCAAGTTTGGTAATGTTGCGTTTCTTGTACGGTGACCATACTTGGCTGGCATATTCCATTGTTGATCTAACCCACGTTATGTATAGTAAACGTTTCACAGAAGGGTCATCCATTTCTCTTGTTGAACGGTATAGAAGTCCCAACATTTTTTGTGCTTTGGCAGCAATGTTATCAACATGGTCGTTCCAACCAAGATTACTGTGTAGCCAAACTCCTAGATCTTTTTTGGATTCTACGATGTTAAGAGATTCGCCACCTAAAGTATACTCTCGATCGAAAACAGTATGAGTACGGGCCACTCTCAAAATTTTACATTTGCTTATATTAAAGTTCATTCCCCAAGTAATGGACCAGTCATATAGAGCATCAAGATCTGCTTGTAGTTTATTCTGGTCTGCACTCCCGAAAATAAATCGGAAGCATTTGGAATCATCGGCAAAAAGGGGTAAGTATGTTCCATCATTAATAACATCTGGCATATCGTTTATATATATTACAAAAAGGAGCGGTCCCAAGACCGATCCTTGGGGCACTCCCGATGTCATTGGAAGCCACTCTGAAGTATGACCATCAAGAACAACACGGTGACGTCTGTCTGAAAGGTAACTGCGGAACCATGACAGTAATGGATCCCGAATCCCAATAGCATGGAGCTTGTGGAGAAGTTTATCATGCGGTACTCTATCAAACGCCTTGGAAAAATCCAAATAAACTAAGTCAACCTGTTGCTTTTTGTCAAGGGCGCTAGAAAGTAAATGAACTACTTGAAGTAGTTGGGTAACGGTGGAACGGCCAGGAAAGAAGCCATGTTGCCAAGGGGTTAGCTTTGGTGAAACAAAGTCAAACAATCTACCAAAAACACCTTTTTCAAGGACTTTTGACAGTTGATCGAGCAACGAAATTCCTCTATAGTTAGAGACAATTGACTTTCGTTCAGCCTTATGTATCGGGACAAGATTAGCATCTTTCCACTGATTTGGAAAAACACCAGTACTAAGTGACTTGTTGAATAAAGTAGTTACAGGTACAGTAATTTCTTCAGAGCATTCTTTAAGAAGCCGTGAAGGGATACCAAAGCTAGCCTTGTTTACGTCAAGATACCGAAGAGCTTTGTTGACGGAATCCCTCTCAATGACAATATCAGATAATACACCATGTGTGGTATAGCTCAGAGTAGGCAGAGGTACAACAAATTCACCAGCAACTGGGGTATTAAATACGGAATGAAAATAATTATTAAATAAATTCGCCTTAAAACGTGGCTCACTCGCTGATATGTCATGATGAGAAACAACGTTAGGTATTCTGCTAGATTTGTTGATGACTTTGTAGTACGACCAAAATCGTTTCGGATTATCTTTAAGTGATTGACCCAAATTGGTAATATAAACTTTCTTTTTGTACTTGATAAGTTTCTTTATATCAGCACGCAAGCGGCGAAAACGTGACCACAAGTTAGCGCTGTCACAGACTTTAGCCTTGCGCCTAAGATTATTCTCCTTATGCAATAAATGAACGATTTCTCTGTCTACCCAAGGCGGCTGGTGGATGTCGCGAACGCGTACCTTTGCTACATATTGATCAGCAATTGATGTAAAAACTTGTTGCCATTTTTCACAACTTTCGTTGACATCTTCGTTATCCAGCAAAACGTTGTCCCAATCAATGAAGCCTAAAGATTGCCTCATACCATAAAAATTTGCATTATGAAAATTGTAAACAGTACGTTTTGTTTTCTTTTGACGCTTGACTTTAGCTTCAATGCAAAAATTAACAACCAAATGATCGGACTCAAAAATATCCAACTCAATTCTCAGTTCTGATACATTATCAGGGAAATTGCATAAAATTAAATCCAGAATAGACCCCAAAAAGAAAATTAAATCCAGAATAGACCCCTCGAAAAGGAGATGTGGGTCTTGAGTTGTTCTGCAAATTCAACTCCCGAATTCAAGACTCATGCCAGGTCTTGAATTGAAAATGTAAAACCAAGTAACTGGGTTATTATGGAAATTAATAACCAGGTAGCAGGTTATTAATTTTCAATAACCTTCAACCCTGCATTTCCCCCAGAGAAATCAAATACCACCGCCTGCTTTTAGATTGAAGGTTATTACAGAGGAGTTAAAAACTGACAAAATACAAAAGAATATGGTCTGATCAGTTTGTAATGCAAACTTAAACTTACACCATTCTAGTATAATTTAGTTGTGCATTTATTGCATTCTGACTCCTTGTCGGCACCTCTGCTCGAAGGCTAGTGGCCGTCACCCCCGTGAAAACATTCAAAATGACCAGATTGGCTTGGACCTACAGGGAGACGAATGTTTTGATTGTTGCAAGGTGCCTACATGATGTGGGGGCATTTAAACTAGAATGCTGTTAAAAGTTAACTAACTCTTGAGTAATGATATGGTAATTGGGGGCTTGAGTGGTCTCATAAGTGGGTGCAGAGGAGACACCTCATTCAGGCATTTTCTTAACTGCCATCACGTCATGTAGGCTCCTCGCAACAATCGAAACATTCGTCCCCCTGAAGGTCAAAGCCAATCTGGTCATTTTGAATGTTTTCACAAGGGTGATGGCCACTCCTTAGAGCAGAGGCTAGAAACATGGTAGCAGGATAGGCTGATATCAAAAGCACTGACAAGGAGTTCTGCTGCAATAAGTACACAATTAAATTATACTAGAATACTTTATAGTGGTGTAATTTTAAGTTTGCATTATCAACCTGCAAAATTCGTGGCAACCTGCAAAATCCCCAACCTGCAAAATTCCCAACCTGCAAAATTTCCAACCTGCAACCTGCATTTTGTACCTGCCGCTAAATAGGCTAATTCCCTGACTATGACATAGGCACTTTAAAAGCTTTCTGTATGTGTTTTCATGCATTGTTTTAAAAGCTTTACTTTTGGAGATACACTTTTTGTACCTGATAAAATTCAAACTGCATTGTGTACTATATGTCCACATGGGCAAGTAGTCCTTAAGGTTTAACATAAATTACAGCCTGTAGGTCATCCTAAAGGATGAGTTGTAACATTGGTTCAGTTGAGTTGTCAGAACAAATGCCTTTCACCTCTGAGATGGTGGGTTCGGTATATGTATGTACAAGATTTTTCAAGGTAAAGGGAATGTTTCTTCTTTGCTAACAATGGAGGAGTTAAAATCCATTGTTGATAAAGTTAAGACAAAAATAAAGGATAATGGTTTCTGGGCAGTAACATGGTGTCAAATATTGCAGCATAACATCAAACAATTCACTATACGATAATATATTGCCAATTTATGAACGATTTTGTTGATTAATTCTTAACAGACTTTTATGAACTTATACCAAATTCGTCTTCCGATCTCTATTGCAGTCTGAAAATCAACAATTATGCAGTCTTATAATGATTCAATACCAGATCATTTAGTGACATTGTCGAAAGGTGTTACTACAAGCAGTGGACATGCTCAAATTTGTTCAGAACTTAATGAGAATAGACATGGACCTCTGTCCTACATAGCAGGGCATGTGCTGTCAAATCTAAGGAAAAAGTCCAAAAACAAAATAAATGACGAGCTTCAAATCATTTTGGGACATATGATCAGTTCTGGTTTGGAAAATACATACATTAAGGCATACAGTCAAGAAGGTCTGTTACACCATGTGATGATTTGGTCAAGCTACTAGAAGTTGTAGAGATTTCATTCAGACACTGTTCACTGCTGTCAAGAGCATTCCTTAATTATGACAAATTATGTAATGATGTATTTGACTCTCTATTGTTAATCTCTTTGGGCCAATATATTGCAAGGATGTGGTAATAATATTAGCAAACAAACAAATAAGCTTTCGTCTTTTCATCAAAGCCAGGAAAGAGTTTGAACAAAATTTCTTAATAATCAACATTTTTTTCTTGTCTGTACTCTTTCAACATACTTATATTTATAACAGACACTCACAAACGATATGTATTAAAACATTCTATTTAAAATTAAATATATATACTAAAAAATGGCTCACAAAATATATTTCATATAAAACCTCATCAGTTGTTTGCCATCTTTAAAATATAATATGTACTTGGTGTAATACTTGTTTAAATAATCTACTTGGTGTATATATCATTCATTTGTCTTTTCTACCAAAACTCGTCTCAGGGCCTGTTTATATGGAAGCTGGGCTGGCCCGCTTAGTGAGACAGCCCGGAAAGCGAGATCTCGCTGTGTAGTTATTTTATAGTAAAAATTATTGTGCGTTTATATGGACAAGCGGGCTGGCCCGGTTGCCGAGATCTCGCCTGAAAGAGGCAAGATCTCGCTTACCGCGATGGAAAATTCTCCATATAAACACTCGCAAGTGGGCCAGCCTGGTTGCTGGGATGAAATTTTTAATAGTGTGCATGCATCAAATACATGTGCTCATGTCAAGATGGCCGAACTGCACGAGATTAGTGAATGTTCAACGGGGAAAGAAAGCAAATAAAGTTGAGAAAAAAGCCCAAAGGAAAAACTTTCGATGGGAGACAGACATGATTGAGCATTTGATCCATTGTTTATTGGATTACAAATCCTCAATGATGTACAAAAATCTCGATTTCTATGCTGACAAACCGATGCAATACAGAGAGCTTCGTTTAGCAATGGCCACCATTTATGAGGAAGATATCTCCGTGTTTAGGCCGCTTGCACTAACCCCTTTGCCAAGTAATTTTGAGCAACTTTCAAAGGAAGATAAAGCTTAAGCCAAGTTGTTGCAAAAGAGATCTAAAGAGCTAATTAGACAGAGGAATAAAGCGAATAATGGAAAAAGTCAAAGAGATCAGGCAGAATTTTGCAAAGGCTGTTGTCGCAGGAAACAGAAATGGAAGCAGTAAGATTGTACACAAATTTTACGAGAACTGATTTTAATATGGGGTGGATCAGCTAATACCAAGCCTCTTACTTATGGTGTGACAGCAGATGATCTTTTGGAGGAAAGCAGCGCTGACGATGATTCCAACGTTTCCAACTATGACAAAATTGATCGGGAAATACTGTTAGCAGAGGAAAATGAGAAAGAAAATAATGATCAAGAGGATGATTTTGAAAAGGAGGGTATGAAAGAATCCACCAGCACAAGCGAAGTTGTCCAAGTAAGCGAACAGGGAACTGTGTACCTCAGTTGATTGATAAAAAGCGCAAGCATTTGGAGTGGAACTTATTGGCTGTTCAGCGAGACCAATTGCTCTTCAAAGAAGCAAAAGAAGACTCCAAATTCAAAAAAAGATTTGGCTGATGTTATGCATGAATCATCCAACAAGTTTGCTGAAAGTAGTAGTATACTAAGTAGTAGTAGCATTGGTGCAAGTGCACATGCGTGACGGAGAGATGCGTGGCCGAAGCCCTGGTTGACCGAACTTATTCGATTTCGAATTTGGCGCCGGTAATATAAGAGAAGAGAGGGGCGGAGCTTGTAACGTGTTTTCGGTTTGCAGTTCCGTTCATACGCCAGTCCCAGTCCGAAATCCAGAAATCACAGTGCAGTCATTAGTATGTGTATCTTGATTGACAGATGACAAAAAAAGACCGCATTCATCGACCTGGACTCATGAAATTTTGGACTGGAGACTGGAGTGAACCGAACTGATTCCATTTCAAATTTGGTGTCGGTAAAATAAAAAAAGGACGACGCTTGCGGGTGGCGTGTTTCCGGTAAGCAAAAACCCATAAAAAATAAAAAAACATTTTTTAAAACTATTATATGCTTCAAGATGTGGACAGATACCGTTAAGGAATGGTTGTTAGAACAATTTCAAAAAAAAACGAAAAATGGGAAATAAGTGAATTTGCAAACAGACTCGTCGAACAAGGTGTAATACCGGAGCAAATAGCAGAAGACCACGGTTTAATAACCATATTAGTTGAGCAAATAAAAAGGCAGGTCGTTGAAAATATAAAACTACCAAATTATGCATGGCACAGATCCCTAAACAGACACACGCCGATGCATGAATATTATCTGGTAAAACAAATTGATACAAATATTAAGGACGCAAGGGAGTTCCTGCAGCGGGAAACAGGAGTTAGTTTGGATTACTACCAAAAATTAAGCACAACATGTGGAAAAAGAAAACGGGTTAAAGTTAAATTTTTATTTTAATAACAGGTTTTTAAAAAAAATTATTCTATCCTAAATTTTTAGAAATATAAAAAAAGTTTCTATTCCTGCTTATAAAATTCAAATAATGTTGCCTGTCTAAGTTTTGTTTCCTTTTGCTTTCTCCTTTTCCCGTAACTTTCGCTACCCGAAGCGGTCCCAGACATAAAAACTGAACTCTTTTTACGTTTTTGTTGTATTTCAACACCGTCTTTAACAACAGTTACAACTTCAAACCATGCTCTACCAGGGTTTTCGGCTACCCATTCTTTGCCGGCTTGTTCAACGGTTTGTTGTCTGCTATAAAACACCGTTTTTGTGTTTAGATGTTTGTACTGGAATTGTTTTCCGTCAAGGGTTGCAAAACCTGTGAAAACAAACTGGTGGTCATCATTTAGTTTTCCGCTTTTCTCGTCCTCTTCCCGTTTATGTTTTGCACTATACTCCTCAAACATACCAAAACGACAACTGCCATAAAATCTTTGCTTAAACGCAATCTCGTCATCATCTTTACCTATACTCGTCAGTGCATGATCACATTTATGCATACAATGTTGAATGTGAGCATTTGCACAAACAGTGTGCAAAAACTGATTGATAATTGCATTGTCTCCCATATTTCTTTATTTAGTGGTTGATTACGAGTCAGATGAGGAGGAAAGTGAGAATGCAAGGGATGGATTTTCAAAATATAACCTATGCTCACAGTTAGAGAATTAGCCATATATGGTCAATTATGGACGATGTTACAATTCAATTTTTTTGTGAGCATCATTGTTTGTATAATAAACTAATTACAAAAAACGAATTTCAAACAGAATTAATGTGTGTAGTACATGGCACAAATCTTAATTACCCTTTTATGGAAGGCTATTGTGATAAAAAATATGTGCAAGATTTTTGGAATTATTCTAATATTGAAGAAAGTTATCACGTGACTCAGCATGTGGGCTTATTTATAACAGATTTTAAAGTAAGCGGGTATGATTTTACACAATTTGAACAAATAGGTATAAATTTGGCTAAGAGAAAAAACAATGGCGACGCCGAAAAGCAAAGTAAGCAGCAAAAGTAAAATGGGAAAAACAAGTATTCCAGCACCACACGAAGGATGGGGAAAGTTAAGAAGGGAACAAGTAGAACTTTTCCACAACATTGTAGCGCGATATACATGGATAACCTTACAAAATTTTACCGAAACAAGAAACATGGATTTTGTCAAATGGATGGCAAAATCACCAGCAGTAGCTATGCAGGAGTGGCGTTTTATGTGTCTAATGTATGAAAGATGCTTAGATTGTTGGCATGTGGAAAAGATTTATAAACCAGAAGACACACCACTCGGGGTGATGACGTAACGCACATGATGGCTATGCTCTACGATATGTGTGTAAAAAAACAATTGTATTCCACGGGACATTATGCTAGCGTTGATACGTTTGTAGATAGAATCTACATTGCATATTCGGATGGGAGAATGTACATTGTGTATTCGGATGGGGACAAAGTATTTGTTGATGACGAAATTTGTGATAAAATAGTGGCCAGCAGTGACAACAATAGTTAAACATTTTATTTCATATTTTAAATTATATACATATTTGTATTTTTTCTAGTTTATTAAATGTTTTTTTTCATCTTTTCTGTACTGATTTTGTCTTTCACAACCTGTTTGAAAAAAAAAAGTTAAATACAAAATATTATTTTAATTTTTAAAAAGGACTTAAATAATGTACCTTTTAGTTAATGATCTTAAAATCTGTAGTGTTATTAAAATGTGTCTGTTGTAGTTCATGCATTAACCAGCCAAAGGTTTGTTTACGAACACAGCAATGTTGTGATGGGGTACAAGACGTTAGTTCTGTGAAACCATAGAATTCAATACATTGTCCCGGCGGTACTTGGAATAGAAATACCCGGTTATTAACGTGGTTGTTGGCCATTTTAATAATAATGTGTTGGGTTGTGTACTCTTGCCAATTTACGTTAACATCGTCGGGAACTAGAAATATATTGAAGTTGTTGTTAGAGCCATTTAAGTAAATGTAGCGTCTGTTACCCAGTGTAGGCATGTTTAGAATATTATTATAGTATTTTTTTTACTAGAAGTTGCTTTTTATTAGCACGATTGTTGTAGCAATTGTCCATATAGGGTTAATAACGTGTTTGTAATAGTGTATATAAATAAATGCCTGTAATAGAAATGGAAGATGAGTTTTACTGAACCATGCAATAGTGTCTTTAGCAGCCTTTTTCTGTTTTCTTTTGTGATAGCTACAACACTGTGGTGTTTAGTTTTTGAAAATATCAATGGCACACAGCAACTTTACAATTTTACGACCCAGTAGTTTGGACGAGAAACCAGAGAGGTTTGTTTGCCAGCTTTGTGGAACGAAAAAGGGTGAAATTTGTAATAAGTTAATAAACGAGATTGCTGAAAAGAGTAAACTGTATTGTGACATATGTGGTGCATTCGAGGGGAAAGAGTGTGATGCGGTAACACACAAGCTTTTTGAAGAACGTACTAAGCTGAAAAATTGTAATATTTGTGGGGTGTTAAAACATTTGCCCTGTATTAAGGAAAAACACGACAAATGGTATGCGGAGCTGTGGTCACCAAACTATGTTGATGCATCACAGGCTTGGAATAATTATGTTATACGTCCCGAAACTGATAATTTGGTCGAAGACACTGATTTAAAGGAAAAAAGAAGATGCTGAGGATTATCCTGTAGAAGCGTACATAGAAATTTATCAATGTAGCTGGTAAAAACAATTTTTATTTCTTATAAAAAAAGACGTAATAGTGAGTAAACTAAACACAAATATAGACAAATTAAAATAATATATCTACAGATTATTATTATTATAAAGTAATGTTTGTATTTTTTGTATAGTTTATAGGAGACTTCGATACTAATACTAAATAAAAAGTTATTCATAATTGTTATCTGTTTTTTGTTCATTTTTATTGTTAGTTTTTTAAAAGCATTTTGCATTTCTAGACTATCAAAAGCTTTGTCTAGACGACGGTCTAGTTCCAACAGCGTATCGTCATTATGATTATCTTTTTCAAACGTTGACAACGGTTTCTTTTGCAATTTTGTGACATCCGTCACAACAACTGGATTCTTGTAAACATCTGTTGGTAAAACAGTAGTAGTTTTGCGTGCATTCATTGCTTTGTTTACCAGCTGGCTCACCGGTTTTAAAATCGTGTGTTGAAATTTGTTGTTGTTGTTGTGGTTGTTTGAAGGGTGCGTATGGTGTTGACCGATAAAATCCTTTGGTTCGGCATACAGGCGTAGTGTCGTGGAGGGTATATTCGATTTTGCGGCGGGTACTGAAGACTATTTCTTCGTTGTCTATTGGTTCGTCTCCCTTCCTTTCGATTTTTTGCGATAGTGGAGGGATTGGGTTTAGGTTTGGTTTTTGTATGTCTACATTGTGAAATCCTCTTAACACGCACATATATATTTGTTTTGCTTGATAATATTTATCACATTGTGTACACGTACAATTTGTAGTTTGACCACAGTGATAGCAAGACATTTTTTGATTTTTTCAGAGGTATAAATTCTATTTAAGTACAAAAATTAGGCTAACTAGCTACAGCCTGTAATTGACCATATTTGGTCAATACTGTTGTGAAAATGATAATGTATTATCTTTTTTAGGCTAGCTTGCAATGACCCGTAATTGACCATATTAGGTCAATACTGTTAATTATATTATTTTTTTAGATCCATGGACATTTTGTTGGACAAGTATAGAATACCAAAATCGCCTTATGTTACTTGTGAATGTAAATTATATGTGAATGTTGGATTTTGTATGCAATGTTTTTTAAAGAGACATAAAATTTTAAGAGAAGAGTGTAGAAAGTTAGTTGGTCTATACCCGCACATGGACACAGAGTTGACAAAATGGCTACAGCTTTGTTGAATGAGTATGAAGAGATGCCCGAATTGATTAAGGATGAAAGGATGCGTGAATATCCAAATATGGGTATATCCGAGGGCAAATTGTATTGCGAATGTTTGACATGTCGGGGCTGGGATGGCGAGTGTGGGTTAATTCAAACATGTCATAAAATTACATGTGCATGCGGGGATAATGTGAATTTAGAGTGTACAAGAGTTTGGGAAAATGGAAACATTAAATATTTAGCACGGTACAAGTGCGCTTGTAGGTAAATAACAACACGGTTTATGGCACAAACATTTCAAAGTATCTTGAGCATTCTTTACTTGGGGTACAAATTTCATGTATGAACACGTACCCCTATTGCAAATGTAAAATGATTGTAGTTCATTTTCAAGCTGAATCGTTCGTTGTTTACTGTCACTGGGTAAAGCCCCTGTGGTCACGCGTTGCAGACTAAGTCATGTTTCTTGTTTGCATGCGCACATCTCGCGTGTAATCCAATAAAGAAAGTCTTTTGCTCTTTCTACAATCCCAACATAGCTAATTTAGGACAAAATAAAACATGTGGTGTTTATTTTCACGAGTTAGATTCATTAACATACATGCACGTTAATTTAGCTGATGACGAAACAGAGGACATAGCATGGTTACAACTACCCAGAAAAGCAAAACATGTGTGCGGAGAGCCTGGTATTTTAAAATATCAATTAAATAAAAATGAACAAGGTGGTGGAGAGTTAGTGTACGAGTGTCGTAGAAGTAATGCATGTTGCAAAGTAGAGAAAGATATATTATTTCCTGCTATTTATAACGGAGACGAGAGATTGTAATAAAATTGATTTATTAAATAAATTATTTTATTTTTTGTTAACATTTTTTACACTATCCATATTTGTTAGCCATCCTAATCGCCCAGCTGGCGTCTTTTTTTGCACGTTCGCTGGCCCATTTTATCCCGTTACCCCATTTTTGTTTTTTGACCAAGTTAACCGATGTGCACGCATGTAATCCGAGGCTTTCCATTCCCCTTTTACGATACCTCCTCTTTGCGGGTGTGTGGTAGTACACATATGCGGTTTATTACGAGGGCCTTGAGTATTATTTGTAGATATAATAATATTTTGAGAACGCCCATAACCTCGACCACGACCCCCATATTCGCGTTCCCATTGGCGACGATAACCCCGGTTATAACCGCGGGGGCCATATTGTGGGGGTGATGCACGTCTGCTACGTCTTCTACCACTTGTGGCAGCTTTGTAAATTAAATACGGTAAAATGCCCCCATCTTGTTTGTTTTTTTTACTTCTCTGATGTTTTCCCGCTTTAAAATTCCCCCCCTTTGAGCTTTTGCCATTGTGAAAGGGTGTGATAATATGACGTTTGTAAAAATTAACAATTATGCTTTATGTGTGGGTCAGAAACGAGCTTGTTGTTTGCAACGTATTATTTTCAACAATTGGTAATCCTGATTCAGGGGAATACTTTAAATTTTGGATTAAATTTTGGTTTTGGTTTATTTTGTTTAATAAAAATGAATACGGTGAGGCACAAATAAAAATTATGCCATGTTGGTTTAGAAGTAATGACAACGTTTTGAAAGAATTACACGAGTATTTGATATATTTTTTAATGAAATTGGATGTGCTTCAACGTCGAAATTATACGCTTAAAAGGAATAATTGAATACTTTGCACAGGATGGTGGGTTCTATATTGTAGAAAGAGATATATGGAAAGAATTAATGGCCCTAAAGTCGGACTGGAGTCTGGCGTCAAGTTGTATACGCCCGAACATAGTATGAAAAGTGAACGGTGTACTACAGTGTACTACAATGGCTACATGGGGAGAATTATATTAAATGGTTTTATGTATGTGAAGAAGAAAAAGGGGAAGGAATATACAAATACAATTTTTATGGATACTTTTTAAAATCACGTAATACAGGGTATAATACAAGCGTAGAAGTTAATTTTAATTTGGGTATAATAAAACAGTTGGTGGGGTACGGACAATTTTCAGTATTTAGCTCTTTTTGTTTTTTTATAAATTTATGTATCATGAATCAATGTAATAAGAGTGTGTATTATAAAATGGGTGTATTATGCGATATTAGTGTATTTAAGTTTGTGAACCAGTTGCAGGATGCTAAATGTACAACAAAGCTTACAAACGTTTGTGAGAAAAGATGAATATATGCACACAACGTGAAGATGGACATTTTTGTGTTTTCTATAAGAATGAAATGTACACATGTCAATGGTTTATATCTTTAAATAAAAATTATAATATTGTGTTTTCGGGAAAAGCATATTTGCGTGATGTACTATGTTATTACTTACCTCATATGTTGTATCTTAAATACACAGATGGCAACGACTTTGTTTGGGTTATTATGCGTGATATATTAAATGAAGTACTTGTGAAGAAGACAACACCGTTTTACATTTTAAAAGATAAACTTATGCGCGCGTGTTTGTTGAAGGGACGATATTTACATACGTCATTTTTGCGTTTAGTATTGAGGTTGCATCTTTATTCCTCAGACGATACGTTTATTTTACGACGATGGCACACGTAACGTTAGAAGCCATGGATAGATTAGCAGTGTTTTGCGGATATGAAAATTGTATGTTATCAAGCAAGAATATAACAGTATTTTGGAATAATAAAATGTATTATTGTGACGAGTATGTACAATTGGTCGAATCAAAACAAAAATTCACAATTTACAAGCGGCAAAAACAAAAAACTACAACGGAATATATTTGTCTTTACTGGCATAAAACATATTGGTTAACTCTTTTTCGTCCGGTGCCAATTAGACCAGGACTGGACCGACCTGGTTCTTTGGAGATTTATATCTTTGGTTCAGTGCATGCTATGTAGATGAAAATAACACTGTTCGATTCAGTAGGAAATTTCCTATCGATAGAGTTAGTAAAATGTCAATATTTTAGCGATTTACGACCTTTAGAGGTCAAGCGACTTCATATTTCATTATAGTACACAATAATCCCGAAATATGTAAACAATGTTTACTAAGGCATACTTTTGCCGAACATAACTTCGGCCCCTTTCAGGATGTCTTTTTCGTAATAGTCTTGTTCGATTCACAATCAAAAACACTATTTAGAGTGTTATTTTCAAGCTTATATCTACAGATTTGCATCTTTTATTTTGGTATTTCAAAATATCCAAATTTTACATGAGAGCTTCAACCGGAAATTCATTTTAGATTTGCCAAAACATTGCGTGCTTACATCCCATCACTCGGCAAACGTCGGAAATCGATTCTAAAGGTCAAATTACCCCTACAGCGTGATTTGCACATGCATGGGGCTACAGGAGCTCCTTATTGGACAATTTTATCATGAGACACGCATTTATCGCCGGACGATAAAGAGTTAATATCATACAGCACGTTTCCGCACCCTGGAATGAGACGTTTTGTGCAACAAATGTTTAGTTATATTAAAGGTTTGAACCAACATACAGATGTAATAAGCTGTGTTTATAATTATTTTTTGCAACAACATATATATTTGGACAAAAGTGTATTTGCTTTTATAAAGCGTGTGTACTCTGAACGTAACTATTTAGGGTATATTATGGACATGTGAACGTAGTATATGAAATGGAATGGGACAAGGGTCTATGGTATGGTTATTGCTATTTAGAAAACGATACGCTGATTGCAGAACGTTTTTTATTTATAGGAGGTGTGGCAGGGGTGTGTTGGATAGCCTATAAAATGTTGGTTTAAAATGTTACAAATCATTATTTTTTAACGTTGAACAAAGTAAAAGCACAAAAAATGAGCAAGATTGAAATTTACAAAAAGGAGAATACAATTCTTGATAAAGAATTGGGCACCTATCAAAATGGTACCACAAAAATGGTGTTTTGTAAATGGTGGGGTCAAAAATGTGTTTTGGCTTCGGGTGTAAAATCCAAAACAAATGAGAAATTTTTATATAAAACTGGTATTGAAACAAGTTTTGAAGAAGTTGAAGAATTAATTGAAGCTTTGGTAAATGCAGCAAATCCTCCAACGCTGTAAATTATCATGAATTATCTCAAACCACCAACTACAAGGGTGAAAAATTTCGTCTGGTTCTAAAGAATAGCGATTATCAAGGGCTAATACTTGTGCGCATGAAACGTCGTGCAGTTGTTGACGAGTTTGATGCTGTTGACCTGGACAATTCCGATCCCGAACCCTTGGAAGAAGAAACATCCACAACAACCGATATCGAGTGGAGTGTTTACATTGGTAAAAACGACAATTGGGCAAAGATAAAGGGTATACTACGCGAATTTTGTATTGATCTTCACCATATTCTCAACGTGGACGAGGAATCTCCAATAATTTCCCCACCGCAGTCCCCTGTAGCTCAACCAGCAACAACATCGGCAACAACAACAGCAGTGTCAGATGTCGGACGACCTGCTCAACCTGTACAAACTGTGGAACAAGTTCAAATTCACCCCCCACCAAAGAAAACGGGGAAGAGAAAACAGGACACAAAAGGTGGTCAAGCAAACGGCAACAAACGTGCAAAGAAAAACAAGGAATTACATAGCACTGAAGACGAACAGGAGGTAAGCAAATCTATAATTTTTGATTTGCAATTACCCCCACCGTATGACTAGGAAACAAAAAATCAAAAGGCTGTAAAATTAGTACTTGCATATATGGGCAAATTTGGAAAATCCTGTTTCGAAACCATTACTTGTTTTAAAGAGGAATTAAACATGAATATAATTATGATATGTTTATTGAACATTCTAAGGATTTCGAAGAGGCTGCTGGAAAATTGATTAAGTGGGAAAGAAACTGAGGACAAATATTGTTTATTATTTAGATGACAGAAAATCAACTGATTGCATATATTATATCTTATATGCAACCCGAGGGTTTAACAGCTAAGGAAGCTGTTGCACGACACAATCAGGAATTAAATGATTTGTATCAATATGATTATATGTTGCTTGTAAAGAGACGAGAAAAAACTATAAATTATATTTATAGATTAATGCAAAAAAACCCTGACTTTTTATAGTGAAAATGGTTAGAAGAAAAGAAACTAAAGTTGATGTTGAATTAATTAAAAAAGCTGCAAGATTGCTCAAGAACGAGAAATTAACTAAAAACCAAGAAACTGCATACTCATTGCATGCTAAAAAGAAATCTACCATTAGACGATTAAAAATTTATGTAACTAGACGTAATGAACAATGGAGTATTGATTTAGCAGATTTAAATGAATTGTCACGTTATAATAATCAATATAGATATATTCTTGTGTGTGTAGATGTTTACACGCGGTATGCTTTTGTAAAATTATTGAAAAACAAAAACGCGCACAATGTTTGTAACAAATTTGAACAAATTATTACCGAACAAGGGGAATACCCTAAAAAAATTCAAGCTGACGAGGGTACGGAATTTGCACAAATTAAGAAAAAACTAACTGACATATACGGATTTAAAGTATTTCACACCCAAAACAGAGAAATAAAAGCGGCTCACGCCGAACGATTTATACAAACCCTAAAACTTATGATTCGTCGTACTTTGACAACTCTTGATGTCGGGTACAGATATATTAAATATTTACCCGCAATAGTTGAAAGGTACAACGAATCACCACATCGGGGTATATTCGGTGCAAGACCTGTAGATTTATATGTGCATCAAAAAATACCCAAAGACTTTACCTTTAAGTTTTTAAAGGCCTTACTAAACAATTCTACACCCACTAAGCGTTTACTTCATGTGGGGGCCAAGTTCGCATAGCACGTGTAAAAAACAACATTTTTGAAAAATCAAGTTTAAGTCGTTGGGTAAATGAGTTGTTTAGTAGACAAGGTATTTATCACCGATCCTGTAACATATGCTTTAAAAGACGAGAAAGGTGAAAACATTAGCGGTACTTTTCATCGTGACGAACTACAAAAAGTGCAAATAAAAAATTAATGTACAGCTTTTTAGTAACGTAAAAAATAAAGTTGGCGTTGAAAACTTTAACAATAAATTTGTATCCACATTACTGGAACTCATAGACGGTGAAAATCATCAAAAAACTATACGTGTGTTAAATGTGTCTTATCCGTTAACCATGGAAAATGTTGATGAAAAAAGTTGTGGTGTACGCCTTATGTATAATTTCTTTCTGTTTCTTCGAAACAGTGTAGCTACTTTAATTTCAAAAGGTCAGAGCAAAAGAATCAGATATACTACTAATTGGATGTATTTACCCGCAGGGTTTTACACTCTCGAAAAAATGATAGAAACTTTAACATGTGACCTAATTAAATCCAAAATCGCACAGCTGCATATAAAACTATGTGATATAGAGAATAACCTAATTCAATTTAGTGCAGGCACTGTAGGCATAGAGTGTGGTGGAGTAAAAAAAATATGTTACGAATAAAATTTGAAATAACCAATCGAGAGGTGGTACCCACAGAATACACGTTGTATGATGAAAATAAATTTTTTACACACCTTGTAAATAAACCTAAATACTTTAATTTAGCAGATGTGCAAACTAATTTCTCAGGCAGCTGGGTATCGTTTAAAATTTTGTTTTCAAAAAAAATAGACTTTAGTGGGCTAGCTAATATATGGTGGTGAAGACCTGGATAATGTTGCCATGAGTAATAACGCCCTACAATGTATGGCGTGGCGTGAAATATTCTTGTGTCAAATTTTTCAAAATGCTAATCTAAAACCTACACATTTCAATGGGCCAAAACAAAAATTGCCCGAGTTTTTTGCGGCAAAAGACCTTACACATTTAAAACAAAATGTACATTTTAAAATACAATGGTCTGACGGTACTGAAAATAGTTTAGCACCTAACGAGAGGCAACATGTAATATTAACATTTAATATTTTTTTCGTATAATAAGTAAAACTCCCTCACACACACGCAAATGTCATAGTCCATTAAGATTGCATTGAATGAGGTTGTAAAAAAATGGAGAAAGAAGATTATATGCAACTAATACATGGTCGAGGAATAAAATATAATAACAGTAATCTACTTTACCTGCCAAATAAGGGAAAGACCACCGAAGAAAGAGCATTGGACAATGTTAGCCCACCGACGAATTTAAAACCGAATTACGTTCCCGATAAAAAGGTTAGGAGAGTTGGCCAATTACCACCCCAAGTTCGTGAAGCACGTACTTCACGAGTAGACTCCACCGTATTGCGAAAAATATACGGTTAATATGGTTAATTACAAACAATACGGCAGTCGTAATAGATTATGTAAAAAACAAAATGGTGGTGCTATAGGTGCAGGTCTGGCTATGGGTATGGCGTTACCCATGTTACTAGGGGCTGCAGGTAAAATATTACCTGGTATTTTTGGTAAACGAAAACAACAAACAATTATGGTGGTGGAAGACAACAACGTGCGCAACCCCAACTGCGTTATTATCCACCACCACAACGTTATTATCCCCTGCCACGACGTTATTATCAACCCCCACAACAACAACGGTATCATCAGCCCAACAACAACAACAACGTTATTATCGTCCTCCAACAGCGAGAAAAAAAGTGGTTCCAAAACGGTTACAAACACGAAAACGATAAATTTAATTAAGTAAAGTAATTAGTAATAAATTTAAGATGTAAAATAGGGTTTTAGTAAATAAATGATATAAAACAAGTTTTTTTTTTTACTATTCTCATTTGCAAACTGCGTCACAATGAGTAAACAAGCGCACATCACAGAAACAGAACCCATTGAACAACATGATAGTGGGTTTATGGAACCCATGCAAATGTTTAAAACATTTCCACACAATGATACATTTGTTGACAACCGTGTTTTTACGTTAAATGCAAACCCTGCTGAGACGACGTCTGATGTGTATACATTTGTACATCACAAGCAAGATTACAGTATTTTAAATTTAGAAGATGCAACAATTCAAGCAACAATTAGTCTTAAAGCGAATAATGGTGCAAATCTTGGCGCCGATCAAATTGTTACCATAAACCCTTTGCCGTTACATACAGCATGGAAAACAAAAGAAATATTTTTTAACAATCAAGTGGTAAATACAATATCAACACAGGAAAATGAGCTTGCCTACATAGATCATTTACTTCGTGAGGTACCCTCGGGTTATTTGCCGGAAAAGGAAGTTAATCTTGCCATTCACGACACGCCAGGTCATTTTGATTCAATTATACACTTCAACGATGCTACTGAAGACACTTTAGTAAACAAAGGTGCAAATGAAAGATATCAGGCCTGTAATCAGGCTACAGCATTAAAATGTTACGACCGAATTGATTTGATGTGTCAAAGCAAACGGTTTATACCTACCTCGCACAAAATTAAAATTATTTTACGTCGTGCTGATAAAACAAAAATATTGTTTGGCAATGCTGGACATTGTGGTGTGGCAAATGTTCATTTTGATGATTTTAAAATTACTATTCCGGGTATGAAACCAAAATTACAATTGAGTGAAGCAATTAATCAGGCAATGATTTAAAATGGTGAAGAGGGTAAATAATATGTAACAACCCATCGTTTTGTACCCACACCTGTGTTGGCACAAACACAACGCATAGATTTAAATTATCTATTTACAGGTGCACGCCCCACAAGGGTTATCACATATATGAAATTGCAAACTAGATATAATGGCGCACACAACCTTAACCCTAATTTAATAGCATTCCCTGATTTACAATTTTATGGATTAAAAATTAACGAGGCTTTTGTACAACCTTTGGTTCAAAATTCTCGTGAAGCATATCATAATTTTCGAACCATTTTGAATCGTCACTATGATGAAATGCCATTTTCTCACAAGGATTATCAAAGCAGTTACGGTATTATTGTAACTGATTTGTCAGAAAATAAAGATAGTTTTAATCAGGTTTTACCAAATTCTACCAGCGGTGTAATAAGTTTGGAAATGAGGTTTAATCAACCTTTGGCACATCAATATCAGTTAATCAACATTGCGGAATTTCGTAATCAATTGTCTGTTGGCTATCAAAATCAAGCACACACGAAATATGACTTTTAAATACAGAAAGCGTTGTTAAGCTTATCACATTTGTGTACAAAATGCCCTGGAAGAAACAGGCTAAACAGTCTAGTTGCAAAGTAACACAGCGAAACAGCATAAAAGCACCGGGCGATAATATATTTAGAAAAATTGGTTCCGGTGGTGCAAGTGTACGTATAATTCATATAAAACCTGTAATTTCAAAATATGGCTGAAAAAAGTGAACTTCCAGGTTTAACCACAGCAAAAAAGAAGGACAATGCTACTGTTGACCCAGAAAATAATAACGAAAACAATAGTGAACAAGAAGAAGAAATTGTTCCACAAACAGATGAAAATAATGAAAACGATGATATAGCAATGCATGATTATGACAATGAATATTGGTATGATGTTGATGATGATGACAAAAATAACAAAAACATTGAAATTAATAACAATAATAATAATTCTAATGTTTACAATACGGATATTAGCGGTAGCGATAGCGATGTTGAAGGGGAAACGTATCGAGATTTATTATAACAAATTATTGAGGCAAAACATATATCCAATGCCAAGCGTAAACAAAATGCATTTGTACCAAGCACCAAAAAATATCTTAATTCAAGTTTTGAAGAACGAACAAAACGACTAACACCTACGGTCACAAAAAATCTTTTGTACCTTTGTCAACAAATTGCAAATAAAAAAGTTATTGTTGAAAATATATCACGCGTTGATATGGGTTTAATGCATTACATTGTTGATAAGACCACGTCAAAGAAGGATGTGCATTTACATTTGTTAGAAGATTGGCGTTTACATTTTTATTTACGCGAGGCATTAGATAATGTAGAAAAAGAGCATGGGGAAAAACGTAAAACGTCTAGCGGTAATCTACGCCGAACTGTACAATAGTCTTATGACACTTTTAGAACAGACATCAAAGCGGCAAAAACTATTAAGTGATGTTAAACAAACAGCTACAGAAACCGAACTTGTAAATAGTTATGCTGACATGCATAAAAGTGTGAAAAATAAATCTTCATTAGCAGATACAGATATTGTGAATTTTTTGCGTAAAAAAGATAAATATTTAAATGAAACAGCGGTACAACCTCAGAATCCACAACCCGCAAACAACAACAATGCCGATGGGTCTGCTGCAAAAGCTTTGGTTGCGGGTACAATAGCATATCATGAAAAATTAATAACAAATCATATGAAAGCCAAGGGTATTACGGATACGGGTAAAGGTGTAAAATATCAGGGTAAAACGATGAATTTCTCGTATGAGGATATGATAGAAGACTTGACAAAGAATTCTAAAAATACAAATTTAACCAACGCACAACATGATAAAATGCTACGTACTTTAAAAAAATCCAATATGCCCACTAAATACATACGAAATAAACTTTTACGTGAAAAGTATAAAAATCTCGATATTGAACAAGCAACACAAGAACAAGCTGGACCCGCCTTTCAAAAGGGACCCACCTTTGAAACACCCAAGGGCCGACCTAAAACAACCCGACAACTTGGACAAAAACGCAATTATATGTTAGAAGGATACTTTCATTCTTTGGGCAACACCCAGTAAACTATGGTGGAGTTAACTTGTTTTATTAGTAAATTTTTAAATACCGACGATATTGACAATATCGCAACCCGAGATTCAACAATTGAAAATTACTTGGGTTGTTACCCAGCAGACGTGTACCCAAACAATGTGTGTAAAAAATGTTGTTGGATATGGAACATTGACGAGCAGGATAAGCCCGGATCACATTGGATAGCAATTTTAAAAAACGGACAAACTATAATTTTTTTCGACAGTTATGGAAAAACGATTCCATTTTTTAAACGAAACTATTGGTTAAAATACTTTGAACAATTAGGCTGTAAATTAAATTTATTTAATCGTAGCCAATTGCAATCACATATTACACGAACATGTGGGGTGGGGTGTTTGGTTTTTTTAAGATCCTATTACACTCAACGGGATATTTTTACCACATTTACATGCAATAGTAAACACTTAATGCAAAATGAGATAAAATTACAATCAATTTCATATAGCCTGTTTAAAAACATAGATAATATATACAAACAAATATGTAAAAAAAGTAAGGGGCAAGGGTGTAAAACATACTTAGAAACACACGGTTTTCTATAAATAAATTTTATTCATTGTTTTTTGCGTATTTACATTTATATAATTATTTTATTTGTATATTTATTAAAAAAATTCCCAAGTTTACACATCATTGTTAGTTTCATATATTGTAGTTTCGTCTTCGGGGAATATATTTGTTCTTACATGTTTATTTGCATAGCTTTTTGGTGAGCCATCAAAAACTAAATATCCATATTGTTTTTTTCCTACATTGGCAAGAATTTTGTGTAATAATGTCAAGGGAATTTTTTTATTTGTAGCAACCATTTCCATATCTCTAGAGTCTGTAAGACTTTTAAACATTGTGTGGTATTGACTATTCACACGACAATTTCGTAATTTTGCCGAACCATAATTTAAATTTTGACACACAAAAATAACCGAGGTGTTGGAATGATGGCCATCGCGTGAGGCTATATTGTTTAAATGTTCAAGATTAATTTTGTTTGACGCACCAATAATCATCAAATCGTCCAAAACTAAAAGTGTTGCTTTACCCAGCTTTGGTTTTATTTCTTCCCACGGCCTTATTCCTTGACTACAGTCCAGAAATTCGTAAGTTTGTAATGTAGAATAATTTGCGTTGTCGTGTATGTGTTTTTTTATTTCGTCGTAATCCGTTTGTTCTACAGCAGTACAAGTATATTAGTTTGTCCGGCGGTGGTTCAATAAGTGTTTGATTGTGTTTTATTATGTTCATAATATATCGAGTTTTTCCACTTTGTGATGGTCCGCAAACAGTCATCATAAAAGGGTGTTGAAAGGGTATTGTACATAATTTCAGCTTTTTACCCTGGTAAGAAAAGAATGAAAAGGGTTTTGTAAACCACATACAAAATGATGAAGAAAAAAAAACTCGAAAATGTAAACGCCTTTCAAAAATGAAGATTTGACATTTTAGAAGGAGGCATTGAACTTTACGTTGGAAAAACAAAAACAGCGTGTGTTTTAAAAAGCACCCTTTAACAAAAACAACTACATCAACTTTGGAATCTTCATCATCATTGAGGCAAAAAAATGAAAATCGGTCAGGACGTAAACATTTGTGTAAGTGTGGTGAATTTAACCTATCAATCAACCTATTGCTTGGATAGATGAACTTTTGGTAGACCATTGTTTCCCCCTTGACAATAATAGTAACTCTAAGCAGCAAATACACTGCCTGAACTATTCAGACTATACAGCAAAAGTTAAATGGACATTTATTAGAAACCTTAAACCTGTCTACGGGGCTTAATCAAAGGAATGTCAAAACAATGCGTTTAATTGCACTTAGCAGCTAAAGCACCCAAAAAATAAACTAGAAAAAGACTAAGAAGAAGATTCACGTGACACCGGTTAAAATCGATGCTATTATGACATTGGGTGAAATACTGCATGCTCTTGGTAAAGATATATTTTGTTATAAATGTATTGCAATGTTGTCGGTTAAAACCGTATTGTACCTATTGTACCTATGATAAATGTTGTCGGTTAAAACCGTATTGTACCTATTGGTATATGTATATTTATTTTGTTATAAATGTATTGCAATGTTCTCGGTTAAAACCGTATTGTACCTATTGGTATGTATATTTATTTTGTTATAAATGATACTGCAATGTTCTCGGTTAAAACCGTATTGTACCTATTGGTATGTATATTTATTTTGTTATAAATGATACCCTAATGAATTTAGACAAACTCAAGGAGCGTGGTATGCAAAATGATACTACAATATCAGACCTCTCAACTCTCACGCATTCGGCGTGAGTCTCACGCAATTCGCTTCACTCTCACGCTCTCACGCCACGTTTAGTAAATCTCACGCATATAGCAGTTTCATAGTATTTTTTTCAATAATATAATATTGTATTCTTAAATGCACATTATTAATCATTTTACGAATCGCGAGTCGAATATATAATCACGTGTTCTTGTTCTTGCATATACGGCCCGACAATTTGGATACAAAATAGTACGCATATGTAAATATGGCGGACAAAAGGCAAAATCAGTCCAAGCAGAATTCTATATGTAAATTATCAAAGGCAAATTAAATCTGATTACTGTATGCCACAGAAATACAGTTTTACAGGACGTTATGAAGCAATGTATTTCATTAAAAAACACCAACTCTCATAATGTACGAAATGCCATTTCAGACCCCCGGACGTTTACAAAGGTGCATGTCATCCACATCCCCAATCTCACTCTTAACTTCTCTGCAAAGTTGAGAGGTCTGCAATATAGCAAAATCTCCAATACTAGGGGGCAATTTATGTTGAGGTCTGAAAAAGTTTTGGGACGGTTATGATAGTAAAAAAATAAATGGGTAATCCATTTAACGATATTTAACACACACCCAGCGATGAAACTGATCTTCAGGATTAGGTAAAACATCAAATTTAGTGGAAAATAGTCCTAATGTATGCTGCCAAGGAATGGCGACAATTCAAGAAATCAAAGAGGCAGTATAATTATACTATCGCAAAGTTAAAATGGAAGACAACAATGTCAATAGATACATTCTCATTTTTCCCCTGCTGACTTATTATGCCAGTAATAAACGCAAAAGGTGGTGCGAAATCAGAGAGAACAATATTAAAAAAATAATAATAGGTTCTTGTTTGAGAAAACACAAAACAAGCTATTAAGACCGCATGAAATTCAGATTGCAGATAAAAGACATCACCTAAACCACTATATATGAAATTTTGTGAAAAACGAACAAATCGAATTTAAAGCACAAAAAGAAAAAAGATCAAACACACATATGGCAAACATGAAATATGGAAAGCCAAGAAAATCTGGTTTAATGCAGAGAGAAAAAGGAAACATTCCAATCTTTAAGGTCGGCGTCACATTCAAAGCCAAAACGAACACAGAATGCAAGCTTCAAGATAAATGGGAGAAAATAAGAAGCTTCATTTACTACCGCAAAAAACTCTAATTCGACTGTAATGACAGAACTTATTGCAACAACAAACAACAACAATCAAAAATCAGAAAAAGGGTAAAATCTCCTTCAAAAAGAAATCAACCAACAAAGAATTAACCAAGAAAAGATGAAATCTTTCACAAATTTGCATTTACAAATGTGAATAAAAAAATTAAAAGATTGTAAAAGAAAAAACGATAGACATTCCTGTAACAATCCTACATACTGTCCTACATACAGAACCCAAGAAATCAACAATCCAGATACAAACAAAAAGTTGGTTAATAAAGGAAAAGGGCGGGAACACACAGCATTTGCATTTTAAAAAAGGGACAGACAACATAGCTAGTGAACAACATGTAGCACTGATGAACTTGAAATTTGAATACCCCACCAGATTTCAACAAAATGTTTGATAGCCAAAAGTGAAAGGAAGTAAAAAGCCTAGCAAAGCAAAGAATATGTTTTTTCTACAAAATATTCAAAAATATTCAAAACACAGTGCAAAATTTTAGGAAATAGTTGGTCAAAGGGTATCGAAAATTTCCAAAAAAAGAAAAGAAACGAGAAATACGCGCAAACTGTCAATCAAGAATGGCTACAACTTACGGAGACATGTGATTTACACAAAGAAAATGATGAAAACCCCCAGAAAATAGCTACTGGAAAAACGTGCCAAAAGGTCCAAGGTATTCACATGCATATGTCAAATTACAACACACGTTTTACAAATTTAGCTTGTACAAAAAATGCCTTCATATATCAACTAAATACTTGCCACTCTGCAATAAGATATATAAGGAGAAAAGAAGAAAAAGGCTGCAGAACAGGAACTTCACAAAAGGCATTTTACCCGTATTGCGGAATATGGAATAACTATGCCAAAAGGAAAAAAAAAATCTTACACTAAAACAACCCAAACCCGTCAAAACGTTGAAACTAAAAACAAAGGGCACAAATCACCAAAACTGCAAATTTTTAGAAACAACAGGCAACGAACCTCAAAGCGAAAATTTCAAATGTTGAATGGCACAACGAACTTCACACAAGAAAAAACAAAAGAATCGCTGAAAAGGCATTGATAAAGAGAGAAAATTCAAAGATTTTACAATGATAAACCCCTAAAAAAAACTCAAAACGTAAAGAACAAAAAAACACGCGAGAAGGATCAAAGTTAAGAAGAACGCAAACAAAAACTTTGCAGTATACAACGAATAGTTTGCCCCAAAGATATAGATAAAAGTTAGTTAAAGATAACTATATATATATATTTATATATATAGTTATCGATAAAGATAACTATATATATATATATTTATATATATATATATATTCAACCTCTAAAACAAATGGTTAACCAAATGACAAACAATTGACTACCGCAAAAGCAATACACACGATCAGAACCAGAAATGCAATTTTCTAGTACAAAGAAAAAAGTTAACTACACATCAAAAGGGAAATCAACTGACGCCCAAGGTGAAGAAATTGTCCTTGAAAATTGTCAATAAACCACATTCAATACAAAATGGCTAAAAAGCAAACACATCAAGCGATTTGGTTCGATTCATCACCTCAAACAAAATGTGTGACACTGAAACAAACAAGGAAAAAAAAGAAAGTGCAAAATAAGAAGAAAGAAGAAGCAATTCATGTGGGAAGTGTAACTAAAAGGAAACAGTACTTGAACAGCTAAAGAAAAGTACTCCCAAAAAAATAAAACAAATATGAGCAAAACAAAAAAAAACAACAACAACAACATCAGCTGAAACTTGATAGTCAAGAAGAGATTCGGTCAGGACGGTTCGAGTAAGTGATATTTCGGAACAGAATCTAGTTCCTTCATTACCAATGTATTCTAGTAATATGAATTTTTTTTTCTGTGTTGGTGTAGTGTACTCAGGTGAATATGATATTTGTGGTGTTACTCTGAGTGTATACTAGAATACATTGGTATTGAAGTACTTATCATCTCAGTCCTCAGTCCTTGTATCTCAGTCCTCACTAGAATACATTGGTGTTACTCTGAGTGTATACTAGAATACATTGGTATTGATACATTGGTACTGAGATATTACTAGAATACATTGGTATTGAAGGAACTAGATTCTGTTCCGAAATATCACTTACTCGAACCGTCCTGACCGCGTAGCTCAGTTGGAAGAGCATTGGGCTAGTATTCCAAAGGTCGTAGGTTCGAATCCCACCGTGGCCGGGCATATTTTTCAAGCTCGCCCGGTGTGGATATACACTCAGAGTAACACCACAAATATCATATTCACCTGAGTACACTACACCAACACAGAAAAAAAAATCATGTGTTGTGAGTGTTGTGCATGTAATAACAGTGTCAGTGAACAAATCCGTCCAATTGTACCTCACGGCCGTAGGACGTAGGCATGAAATCCGAACAAACCCCAGGCCTGATTATAACCACTGTTATAACCATCATTCCCTAGCGTTGGCATAGGCGTACGGGACGGGGGGGGGCAGGGGGGCAGCTCCCCCCCAAAAAGATTACAAAGTCGAAAAGTCAGCCAAATGTTCAACATAAGTCGGGCGAAGAGTGGGAAAATAAAAAGCCAAAAAAGTAGTCAAAGCAATATAAAAATCTCTCTTAATAATAACCCTAGTTTGTTGGGCAAACAAAGCCAGTTGGGCAATATTCGCTTCACAGTCGGGCAATATTGGGTTATTATAAAACTAAATGGGACAAAATCTGTCATGAATTTTGCGGGAAAGTATGTCAATTGTGTGATGTTTGGAAAATTTGTTTTGATGTTCTGAAAAATTTTGGTATGTCCGAAAAATTTTTGGACCCCTAAAACGGTACACTGACCGAAATTTTTTGGCAACGGGGGGGGGGGGGGCGCCCAAAATTAATTGTTCCGGAAAAAAAAAATTTCGCCACTGGTTGGGCACAATCCGAAAAAGTTGGGCAAATTTCTTTCCGCCCCCCTAATTTTTTCCTTCCGGTACACCCATGGGCGTTGGAGTGATTTGCAGTTAACATTGATTCTTTGCTTAAGTTCTCGTTGTAGAAACTATGTGCTGTAATGTATGCGCAAAGAACAGTAATGTACGTGAGCTACAGAAATTTCATTATTATTATTATTATTTACGGCTGAAAATGTATATTGCTCTTATTTATCTAGTAAGACCATTATGGAGGAAGTGAGGACTGAGATGATAAGTGCAATTACAGAAGTTATTCATTTGCTACGTTCACAAACACAGAACCAAGATCTTGAGTTGTGCGTGACAAGATTGGAGGTCCTTACCGAAAATGCGTTGACTTATGAGGATATATCACTCGACGTTGTTGATTTGCTGAACCAGGCGTTAAACGTTGTGAAAAGAACGATTGGAATAGAAAGAGGTTACGATCCGTATGCAGCATCGTTAGTTCACGATGAAGGGAGACCAGGAAGACCAAAATTTGAAATTAACGAGGATCAACTGATGTTTTTCAAAGGTAAAATTATGTCATTGGTTAACTTTTAGTCAATAGCCATGATTCCGACATTCCATCTGTAAATTAAATGCCTGTTTTGGGATGCTCAATTTTGACTAGATATTACCCAAGTTTTTTTTTAATTGAACCCATTGAGTGGGAGCACTCTCCCCCTGACGAGTAAAATCACCTGGTGTTAGACAGAGTAAAATAATAAAGTAGGGCGCATCCGGGCGCATTGTCACTTAAAGGGTTAATAGAATTTGGCTAAGTCAGATACACCAGTATAGGCAGTACCAAAAAATATTTGAGGATGTTACAATCCGTTCAACAAATGCGAACGTTGGAGTCTTTAGCTTGGTTCTCTGTTCTTTACAATTATCGTGGAAATGATCATTAATATATTTTATACCAATTTATTTGCTCACAAGAGCTGATTGATAATTCATTCGAGACATTTCAACAAATTAACTGCTATTTCCTGTATTTGATCATTTTTGGTAACATCAGGCTGCCCATATTTCTGATTGGCTAATTGCATGAAATAAAATCAATCAAAGCTGGGCTGCCGCGAAAAGTTCTAGCTACCGCTATACAATTATACTGTCAATTCTTCCGGATTTTATCATAGAAAATAGGTTTACGCAACAAGACATGGCCCTTATGCTGGGTGTTAGTAAACGAACAGTGGAGAATCGCATGGCCGAGTTTGATTTAACTAATCAAAACAGGTTTAGTGATATTGATGACAGTTCTCTGGATGCTTACACAGAACGCGTCATTGGGCTTTTCCCAAGATCAGGTATTTATTGATATTAGAGTGAGAAAGAGCTTGTTGGCAAGTAAATTTGTAACCGTGCACGCCATCTAGCTCAAAACAATTTGACTTGAGTTTAGTGAATAATCGAATTAAGTGATTGAAATTTAGAATACAACCTTAGTTTCTTGTGTAAGCTTGTAAAAATATAATAAAAATATAAAAAGTAATACAAAAAATATAATATAATAAAGGGCAGTTGACTGAAAATTGGGAACTATATATGTTATGTTTACTTTAGGATTGAAAACGATAGAAGGACAATTGGTTTCACAAGGAATTCGTGTCCAAAGAAGAAGGCTAAGAGAGTCAGTGAAGCGAGTAGATCCTGTGGGAAGGAGGCTAAGGAGAATATGTGCGATAAGAAGGCGTGTTTATTCAGTCCACTCACCATTGTCATTATGGCACATGGATGGAAATCATAAGCTGATAAGGTGTATTATTTTATTCGAATTGAACATGGGCGTCGTCCCTTTTTAGTTGGGGGCCTACCTCCCCCACACACACACACACACACACACACACACACACACACACACACACACACACACACACACGTTTTGGCAATGGTCAATAATAAATCACAAAGTTAATTGTAAATTGATATCATTTCAGTTACGTGTGTAGACGAAACAATTTGAGATATTTTATGGCATTTTGTTACTTTTACAACTACTTCTAAAGTGCAGGAAATGGCATTTCAGAGACTTTAGTTTTAACATTTTTCCGGGGGCCATGCTTCTGGACCTTTAGAATGTCGCCCGTCTTCGTCTGTCGCACTAAATGTGCCCCCTATACTTTTAGAGCCGCTCCGACGCCCCTGGAATTGAACATTGTTTCATCAATTAAACGGGTAAAAATAAAAAATGAAGGCTGAACTTCGAATGTTTCTTAATTAAATTCTGTATAAATTTGTAATTCAAACTTGACGAAATAGAAATATTCTGTATGTAACCGTTAAAAAAGCATTTATTATGCGAACCAACCAAATTCAACACAAATCATCAACATTAATTAATTAAAAAATAATTAAATAAATCATGGAAGATTTTTATATAAGAAGTATTACAAATACGATAAGTTAATATTCATCTTTAATTATAAACAATATAAATCAACATTACTGTTCTAAAAAGTTCTTAATTAACAGTAAATTCTAGCCTGCACTAAATATAATAATTATTAAATTATGATTTATGACAGGGTGACAAGGTGTAAAAAAGAGTCCTTTAGAAATTAACCTTATTGTTATAATATCATAGCTATACCTAGAAATCCTTTGTTTCGCGAGGGACGATTAATGACTGATTAACGTCATTGCTTAAACATGAGGGATGATAAGAAACTAATCATCCTACGGGACGAGTTACTAATCGTCCCTCGATCGTCTTTATATACATGCATGTGCATATACAAATTTATTGTATTAATGTTCAAGTAAATATTTAACACACATGAAAAAACAACCGGCGTATGTCGAATGCAATTAAGACAATAGATAATGAGCTGATAAACCTCATTAAGCTTCATTATCTATTGTTTGAATTGCATTCGACGCGACCGAAATTCGACGTCTAAAACAGGCCTAACTAAACCTCTCTCGGCTTTCGGGTACATTTAATCACTATAATCGCCTTGAATATCATGCTATCATAATAATTTGAATCCTATAAGTATAGATATCTTATATACACTAGATAGTGCATCTCTTTTAGTAAAATTGAAGCCAAGAATATTCCAGCGGTTACCCCCATTTGAATAGATGGAGGTCATGTTGAAGTTTCCGACTCGCTAATAAACGCTTAAAAAACAACAATAACTTTCATCATTTGAATACTTTGAAAATGTATTTGGAATAGGTTTAAGTTCCCTGTTTAAGAAATAGAAAACATACAAGTCTTCTCATTTCATGGGAATCATCCTGAGTCTGCATCACGCGGCTTCAATTTTTGAATTGCAGAATACTTAGATGCACCTTCTAGTATAAATAAGATATCTATGCCTATAAGCACTGTACGCTGACCATGCATAAGAGTGCGAAAACACAATTGAATTGAATTTTTAATTACCAGGAGCAAAATATATTGTGCTTTAACAACAATACATTAATTTCTAAAGGTCTCGTTTTTTAAAACACCTATATATAAAACATATAACTATATAATAATTTAAACAGTTTCGTACATGCAGACGGGTCAATGTTTAATATTTTCAGTTCTATAACAATAACAATAACATTAACTATAAGCATACATATATACAGTGAACATTATTTTTTAAGATAATACTTAAAATGTTTCTTTTGCAATATATATATATAGGTGGCGTTTTGTCATTCATGGGTGCATAGATGGTTACAGCCGTGTAATTACCTACCTAGCTTGTAATACCGACAACACATCCGCCACAGTACTAGATCTATTTAACTCATTAACGCCCAATGCGCCCGTATGCGCCCTGAGATTGACAAGTGGGTAACGGACAATGCGCCCGAATGCGCCCTGGCATGACACCTTAACTTGCGGGCATGATATTTGAGCACGTGTTTATCGGGTTGCCTAGCAACGGATACGAAAATAGAACGTGAAATTCGAGCTTTTCAACGGTGTATCATGCAAGAAAATCGGTCAGAAACTCGCAAAGGTTTTCAAGTTTAAAATCTTAGTTTTCCAAAAATAATGAATAATGGCGATTCTGTTACAAAGAAAGATTTTACAGCAAGTTTTAAAAGCAAGAAAAGAAGAGGTTTCTGAATCAACTACAACGAAAATTTGGCATGAAAGGAAAGCGAATGTATTGACGTTTTGGGGCCAAGTTTTTCTGTGAACCATGCGCGAGATTTTCAGCCAAAAAGATGAGGATTTCTCCAAACTTTATTAAAAATAGAAGTCGCAAATCACAAGAAAGATGAACACGGAACACAAGTGAGCAGATACGATTTTTTAAAGGGTATTTTTGAGTAGAAATATGCGATCAAACACTCACAAAATTCAACTGCATTAATGTTGGTTGAATCTAGTTTAAAGTTATCTTTTTAGACGAACTGTTTATGCAAATTTGGGCACAATTTCGACTGTTTTCGTAACCCCATTGTTGGTCTTCTTGTTCAAGTTGTTATTTTAGCTAAAGTATGTTTCAAACGACACCAGATTAAATTACTGTGTGCGTACGTGCCCTATTTGGCAAGAATACTTCGAGTATTAAATTACACTAAGTAAGTAGGATACTCCAAAATCACTGTTATATCTATTTTCATCAATTTAGTCTTAAAATGACAACTCGTTTCAGACATATTGTGGTTTGAAATAAGTGTATTGAATTAATGCGTTTGCTTGCCGCGTGCGAATTCTCAAAAAGTCCGCACTTGAGTTCTAATGCTTTTAAAATGCTTTTTGTATTGGGTTTTATATCCCCATAAAACTTTAAATCGATAAGGCAGATAGTAATGTTGATCCAACCTCATTTTCTAGTAACTACATGTTGAATCAGAAGGAAAAGTTATCAAAATTTGGTCGCGACGGTTGTTTGCCGTTGTTGTCGCTTCTCTCTGAAATGGCTTCCTTTGCGGGAAGCCATGAAACTGAAGTCCCAACAAAAACATAATTTAGCCGTCCTTTCGGGCCCATTGCTCGCTTATTTATCATGAAATCGTTTCACTAGAACATTTTTAATAATGTCTATGGGAAACTTTGTAATTTTCTGAACTAAAAGTTTATGGTTTTGAGGTGTTTATTTTATAAAATAGCATGCGCGACAAAATGGCACTAATGTGGTTTCTCACGTCTGACAAACAACCAAAGATGAAAGTTCTTATTTCACCCTTTTATAGCTATGTGGAATACCTGAATATTAGGTTATCTTTTTCATGTGAGCATATAGATAACATTTCTACACAATAGTCCTTATGAAGGCTTATTTCAAACTAAAAGATTGTTTTTCAGAGCCAGACTTCAAAAGAGAACGTGTGTCTGACATTTTATAGCAGCCTACATTGCGCGCAAAATAATTTTGGCTAAAAACAGTTGCTTTTCCAACAAAAACATGAGAAAATTGAGCTAAAAGTCTTACCTGATGTATGTTTAAACTGTTTTTCTTTTTATGGTGTTTTTCAGTGCTTTGAGTAGAGAGGTTAATAGCTTTTGGTTTTGTCACCACAATTTGCCTTTGAAAATGTCGGCTGTCATTGTCTGTGTTAAAAACACCTCAGAAAATTTCTATTTTCTCACCTTCCCATCCTTGGTTTATATAGAAAAGAAATAGATTCTAGTACCATATGTCCTTATAAATATATTTGAAGTAATTAAAAACTTGAAAGATGTACAAGCACTGTGTTTTGGCTTGCACACTTTGTTGAATTTGAACACTTAGTTACTGTTCTAAATTTCATGTTGTAAACATCTTGCCCAAAAAAGCAAAGGAGTATATTTTATAATTTTTGATCATTTTCTAATTCATATCCCAATAGATGAAAATTGGTTATAAAATAGATATGTACTAATTTAGTGAATAATTTTTTTTTTTTGGTTTTTATATAAATTTATGGAGATATTGCCCCTTTAGGTGATGAGTGACATGAAAAACTAAGTGTCACTGCTTTACAAATAAAAATTCTCATTGAAAAAACTAATGATATATATAGGTATGCAAGTTCATTTAAACTAAATTTGGTCAATCATATATCAATAATATTTGGTTGAAAAGACCAGATTTTTTCATGCAACTGTTTCTGAGATATTGCCATTTTGGTGAAAGCTCTTGAATTCAATCATGTATTCGCCATTTTGCTTGTCCACTTTGGGGGTAGAAACATTGTAACAGCTTGCGCGTTAATGAGTTAACTAAAGCCCTGTGCACCTTAGAAAATACATACGGGCCAGTGGACAAACCAAATGGGAGGACTGTAAATTAAAAAATTTTTGGACACCATTAACCTCCCATGAGCAACCAAGAAATTGGGTATGCTCAGGGAAAATCTCTATGTGATGATATCCACTGGCATAGTCAAACTTGAAAAACCAATCCCCTTTTTTGAACAAGTTTGCAGCTGTCCGAATGTCCTCTTATTGGAACTTACAAGATCGCAAATGCTTGTTGACATAACGCAAGTCCAGAATCAATCTGGGCTTCTGTGCATTATTAAACACTACGCCCAAGGGATTACAGACAGTCAACTTGTGTGCTTTTAGCTCCACTAGCACCCCAGATAACCGAAGTTTGGCTATTTCTTGTGTCACAAATTTGGATGATTTGAAAGCACTCCTGTGATTAGATAACACTACTTGCTCGGGCATGTCAATAAACAGTAAACAGCATCCTTCCCGAATTATCTCCAGTACCCATTGGTTAGTCCCAATGCTCTCCCAAAAAGAAATGTTTTCTCGCAGTCGTCCCTTCACTACTGTACCTGAGCAAAGCTCCAAGTTTTCAATATCAGCAAACGAACAATAATTTGAACCATCAATATTAGTACATGAATCATTCCTACTATTTACAAAGTTATCCTCTCCCAATCACTGGGTATTTGGTTGCAAAGAGGGTCCACTACGTTGTGCTCCATTAAAAGTGACTGTTCTTGTGTTTGCGGATCGACAATCCCTAGCGAAATGGCCGGGTCTGAGGCAACGAAAACAAACATGCATTGTTACGCTTGTATTGTTACGCTTGTATTGTTATGCAATACCTCCGACTTTCCCGCCAAAACTCCCTGTTGCGCAGGAAACGGTGCTCTGTCAACAACGCCCTTTCGTTCCGTTTGGGACCCGCTAGACCACATAAACTGCCTCTTAGATTTCGTAGAATGTCCTAAATTCTTTTTCTTTTCGTCCCTAATTCGCTGACTCTCCTTCAGAGCCTTTTTAATCCGTTTTTCATCGTCCGCATTGGCGGCAAGAGGCTCAGCAGTGTAGCATTTGACCGTGTCCCAACCAAATTTCTCTGCTAACAAAATATGTTTGTTTCTTTCACTTAGCAAGCTCTTACCTTCGTTCAACGCAGCCGTTCGTTGCTGCTCGTCGGTTGTCGTTAGGGCTAATTGTCAGCGACGCTGTTATTTAGCTCGTATTGTTTTTTGTTCCCCACATATTTGAAGACAGGTTCGAGTACTCGCTCATCCTGTGTCGACATAGACGTTCGACCACGCTCGATTTCGCTTTGTAGACGTTTTATTTCTTTTCTGTATTTCTCCTGATTCTTTAACAACTCTCTTGCCCATTGTGGCGGTTCAGATGGCGAACGTGAGCGACTACGAATCTCTGAATGACTGGCGGATTGTGAAGGACGCGACCTTGCTTTTTCGCCACTTGAATGGCGCGAACTTCGTTCCAGATTTTCTTCCCGCTCTTGAGGACTTTTATTGTATGGATCCAGGCGTGGTAACGCTCTAGAATCTGATTTAGATTGATTTGATTCTTTTGGCATGACTATACCAAGCCAACAAAGGCAATATTTCGCAGTTTTCACGCAAGACAAAAACAACACAGGTCAGGGCTAGCACAGGCAAGCAAAAAAGTGATTCGGTGACCTGGACCCCACCCTTGACCCAGTCCCCCAGCAGTGTGTGAGAAAAACATTTTCTGCCTCTTTCGTTCCTCAGCCGGCAGAAAATAACACTTGCATGCTTTGTGCAACCACTTCCATATCATCGCAATGAATTTGTCTGTTCTCAAACTGAACTGGCGCGGTTACCTCCTGGGAATCTTCACTTTCCTGATTGTCATGATACCTTAAAGGGTTGAATGAAAGCAGCTTTTGAACAGGCATTTGACTGCAAGGTTTGCCGGCAAAGTAGCAAAATATGACTTGCTATTTCTTACCCATAACAATGGTCTGATTAACTGTATTTCGACTTGTCACAGAGAATTGCAATTATGGTTTAGAAACTTGTAAAGAACATGTCCATCAATTTGATGGCTTTTAATGTTTCCCATCATGAGCTTTTGAATTGTGATTTTTGCTAATAGTGGAAGTGCAGTTTTTTACACCTTGTTACTTCCGTGCTAGGCTGATAAACTAGATTTTCATAAAACATCTGACATGGACAAGGTAATTTCATTGTCGAATGAAAGGGAACTGCAAGACCAAGACTGCAGATTAGCAAGCAATTTCTCTTAGGGACTGTTTGTAAATTATGGCAAGGGGGGGCTGGTGTTCAGGGTGGGGGTACACAGCTTGAAAAAAGATTGGGGGTACATTTTTTGAGGCGATGAAAATTAGGGCGGGGTACAGTTTTACGTCTAGCATGACTTTGATACCATACAAAGAAAATACTGTGCAAAAATACAAGAATTTCTAGATTAGCAGAAATATCTAGAAATTTCTAGATCAGCCCCCCCCCCCCCCCCCACAATCCCGAGGCGATCATTAATGAACAGTCCATTACCCCCTTTAATATTTTAGGATAAATAAGATAAGATAGATGGTTTATTGAGGTAAAAACTTGCAGCCTTAAGTAGCTGAATTATGAGTACCTTTATAAAGCATTATTATACGGTAGCTAACACCACAGAAAAACGTCGCGCATGTGTCAACCTTACCTGTAATAGTATTGCGAACTTGATGAGAAGCTGTTCCGAACGTTTCCGAAGGCTCAAAATGGCGGTAAAAAGGAGTGACTTCATTGTGTGTCTTTACAGCCAGATTTTGAGCGCAAAAATAAACATGTCATTCTAAAAACTAGGAATAAATACAGCCAGAAGGTTCAAGAAATTGGATTACAAGAACATCAACTAAAGATGATTGTTGACAAAATATAAAAAATTTTCGTGTTCACAATAATTAAACTTTAGGATTTATTCTACAATTTGAGTGGGTCAAGAAGCTTAACTTTTTGAGAGTTTTCTTAACTTTTTAGTTTGAATTTTTGTTTTGAATAATTTTGCAAAAATTTTCAAAGTCGTGTCCATTAAAATCAACAATTTTTTACATGAATTATATTTCATTCCATACTTTAAATGCCAGGACGCTTTCAATTAACTCATTCTCATCCGGTCGAAAAGTAGCAAATTCGAGTGGTGTTGTTTTAAATGCATATATCTTTCAAACTATACATCGTACGGAAACAGAAATTACATCATACGAAAGATGAGAACTTCCGCTTTCCAACAATACCATCCGGGGCTTGGTTAATGATTTACTTGCATAAATATGCATAAATTATGATATTAAAAAATGTTGCAATTATGCATAAATGTATCTACCGGTTCAAATTTCAAATATGTCAAAAATTTTATGAATGTAACTGAAAGACACAACTGTGATATACAAGTACCTGGAGTTTCATGCATGTAGCATAAATGGAAGTATTTTTATTGAAATTTTGAATAAACTATGTAGTTGAGTAAAATTTACATTTTGTGCTCACATGAAACAAATACCCTTATCAAGGTCCTTTTTCATTGCTGCAACATATCCAGACAAATTTCCAATATTTCTTATTCTCCAAGGATAGCATGGCACCAAAATAAGTCTGTGACACCCACAAAAGAACACTCAAATCACTATTTGCAAAATGTCTTTATTTCTATGGTTACTATACACATTCTTAGATAATCAGTACACCATTGACTTAGTTATCAGTGGCATAACCAGCCTGAAAATTTGGTCATGCTATTCAAATTTTAAATAATCATTGCCCATTTCTTTAGAAATTGATTGTTTTCACAATCTAGAACATGAAAATATTTGCATATAGCATGACCAAGTGTTGTTGGGCTGGCGCCATAATTAGTAGTTATAAAAAAGTAATGTTTTCCAAGACGGTAATGTTTGCCAAGGCACATAATTGGATTATGTGGTGATAATATTTCCTTTTTTGCACAAAATATATATTGGACCACAAAAGATTTAAAACTGTAACCAAACTTATATCACATCACCACATCATACCCAAATCCATGCTACAATGAATCTCTGGACTTCTTCCTGTATAAACCTCAAAGTCGCAATATATTACCATTAGGACTGTCTGCAGCAACCCACAGATTTATCCCCCACATAGTAGGCCATCTTTCATGGACTGCCTAGTCCCCAACCTATTCCTTGATTTGACAGTGTGTTCGTCAACAACAATTTTCTGTGATGGCTGGTACAGTTTGTTGATGCAGTTTATTGCTGTAGTCTTCAGTGACAGAATCTTCCATATTCAGAAACTTTGCTTTACAGCACTTCGTACCTAAACCGAGAAATTATTTCTATTGCCCACAGACCATGATATAAGGTTTTTACACTCCAATAATTTTCAATCTCACTGTCCATCTTTACCAACCTGCATATACTAAAAAGGCAATCAACCTCTCAATCTCCTCAAGTTTGGTGGACTCCAAGACCCTTCTTTATTAGTATATGGGGATGATTTTTGGATTATTTGTATGTGGGCATATATATGTATTGGTATGGCTGGGAAACTACCTCCTGAAGCAATCCCTTAGTAAAAAAGAGCCGAATGAACTCAAGCTAACAGTTCATACTTCTGGTGAAACCTTGATCGAAATGGATCCCAGACATGTCGGCGAGGGGCAAAATCTGGGATAATATTCCTAGTGTCAGCATCACCATATCCGTCATGTACTATGGGGCCTGGTGGGGGTGCTAGACAGGGAGCTTTCAAAACCTTGGGTCCTAGTGGCTGGGCTTCCCTCTACCTCTACTCATCCCCCTACCTTCCCTCTACACTTGCATGTTTTCCTAATGGGGGTTGGGTTCTCATAACTCTCAGAGCTGCTAC